TACTGCTTACCACCTGTGAGACCTTAGGAAAGCTACTTACCTTCTGTGTCTTTGTTTTGTCATGGGGATTATAATTGCTTTGAGTTTTAAATCATCTGATTCATGTAAAGATTTTACAATAGTGCCTGAACTAAGTCAATATTTATTATTATAAGACTTCCTTCAGCTCTTCTTCCTTCTTTTCTTTCCTTTCTTTCTCTTTTCTTTCCTTCTTTCATTTTTCCCTCCTTTCCTTCCCCTTTGTTTCTTTGTTTATTTTTCTTCTTTTCTTTATACTTTACTTTTTTTTTCCCTTCTTTCTTTTTTTGGTAAATGAAGAATGTGAAGCTTAAATGTCATGGTTTGATGAAAAGCATGTTGTTATTGATCGACAAAAACCAAAATTTGAATTAAGCTTTTATGAGTCTAATAAAAAAGCTTTTTCCAGACTTTCATTATTTCTTTTCCTTGTTAATAAATAATGAAGCTTATTTTGCAATTCAGATGATTATGTATAGACTTAATTAATTGCTATTTTATTTAATAAATTTCCATTGAGCATCTACTGTATGTCAGATATTACGTTAAGTATAAGGAATGCTATTGTAAGTTAAGCAGGATAAGGAAATACATTAAATAATAGAATATAAAAAAAATTACCCATCAATTCCAGAAATACATGAGATTTAAAAGGCTTAAAAGTATGTTACTGGGGAAGCCTGACAGAAGAATTTTAGACAGTTGTAAGAACTGTTTTTCTTGAGTCGCAAAAACACAACTGTGTATTTTGATCTTGTTTCTATTCCTGCCACTTCTTCCCCTCAACTCAACATTACTTCAATGTTTGAAAGAAAATAATTTGCACAATCACTGCTCCTGGTTGCTCAGAGCATTGTCTCATGGTGAGAGGTGATAAGTGGAGAACAGTGAGAAGGAAAAAAGCTCTTCACCAAAGTCTGCTCCTTCCTTAACCCTTCTAAGGCACAGCACTGCTTAATTAGCCAACTTGCACCTACCACAGTACTTTAAGTGTTGCAGGGCCATTCCTGGAGCCCCTCTTTATTTGTATTTCCTTAACCAAGCAACAAGCTTGTCAGCTTGAGGTGTCTGTGTGATATGTAAATGATGCCCTGAATCATTCTTTATATTCTGCTTGGCTCTGGGAGAGCAGTTTCAGAGCTGTCATCTCTGCTGAAAGATATCAAACCTCAGATGTCAAGGAAGATTCTCAATTTAATTCAGAAAAGCTGAATATTTGCTTCTTAGCTCTCCTGATTTACATCAGTTTGTTTGATTTATCTGCGATGATGTAAAGGCTGTTGCTGCTATTTTCACCTTATAGAACCGGAGGTTAATTAGTCTCCAAGGACATAAGTATAAGAAGATGTTGTTCTCTCTGTATCTGTTCAGGAGCATACAACGCTAATATAGCAAAGAGTGTGAAGGAGGCTTGGTGGAGACATGCCCAAGAAGAAAAAAGGAAGTTAATAGCTTCATGTCTCTTTTCTACTGAAATTTAGAGGGAGACACCTGCTCTGAAGATTCCTGAGTTGGAAGATGCCCTCCTTTTTTAAGGAAGGATGCCTTGATATGGGTAGAGCCCCTGGAAATTCCTTGACATATGATTCCTAGGCTGCCTTAGGCTTGTTGCCATGCCCAACAGGATTCCATGTATGCTGGCTGGTCTTTGCGACTGTGGAGGATGGGTTGTGGGTTGGCAGAGCACCCCAATCTGGACCTGCTGCAGGAAGACAATAAAGACTCTCATTTCTCTCCTAAAGCTCCTTTAGTATTAGAGATGGTGTCAAATAATGCAGTATTATTTATTATCTTACTATAGTTTGCATATCTCTCCAACCAGATATAAAAATCCAAAACAAGAGGGGTTGTGTTTTAGACTTCTGTCTAAATAAGGATTACCTTTGTCTATCTACTCCTGTAAATAGAGTAAACTTGACATTCTTGATAAGGTGTAGGCTTAGGCAATTGTGAGTTCTGCCAGATCTTCTCCCTTTCTCAGTATGTTTGATTTTGGCATTTGCACTAATTACTGAAGACTTGTTTAACTATGACATTGAGATAACTAAAACAAGGACAATGTTCTTCAGAGGTTTTCTAGAAAGTTCCTCCGAGGAAGGTGTGAAGAGTCTCTTCCAACAACACACATTGATCTCTCTTCTCTTGACACAAACATTTGAGAAATATAGGTGCTCTGGGTTGTTTTCTGGCAGTGCAAGTGTGTAACAGTGGAAAGGTTCTAAATCTGGCCTGTGATGCATAAGTCTTAGATGGAGAAAAGAAAAAGTGATGATGTGTCATTAAGGAGACAAGATACGTGTGTTTTTCATCCACATGTTTCTACTATTTTGGAGGCTAATTCCTGACATTCTAGCTATAGCCCTTGCTAACCTCTAATTCTGTAAAATCCTTTCTCAGAGCTCTTTGTAATGTTGCAAGACTGCTTGGAGGTATTTCCACTGAGATTTTCACCATGGCAACTGTTTCTAGTGGTGGACTCTCACATGGACAGAAAAGGACAAGGGATTTCAGGGCAATGTGCTTAACTGTTTTATCTACAATAAACATGAAAGAATATTTTAATATATCTTGTAGGGTTACTTGGTGATACCAGGCACTTGCCCATATGATGATTAAATATATTTTGCATTGCATCTGAGAAAATCCTTGAAATAAAATTAGGAAAATTAATATTTTTTAAACATGATGTAATTCAAAAATTTGTATTTGAATAATTTTTAATCAATTATTTTCTGCATTTTTCACAGCTGATTGTGATGTCCCTGTAGTAACACTGTTGAAGGATGTTGGTAAGGAATATATGTTTCTTTCTCTTCTGAGGCCTAGGAAGAGACTTTAGATCCCTGTCTTTGTGTACTTGCATGTGGTGTTCTAGATGCACTGTTCTAAAGTAATAAGCAAATGACTGATAGGAGTATAGTTGAACTAAATTTAAATAGACACAGACGTACTATTGATTTGAGGATGACTGATATGTTCTCTTTTTCTTGCACAAGTATATCTACAGATAGAGATAGGTAACCCCTTGTCTTAAACCCAGAAGAAAGAATGTGTGTCATCATAGTTGCATTGAGAGAGCCTGTTTAATATTTTAACCTCAGATCCAAGTTAATATAAAGTTATTTCACAAAAAACTGCTATGTGGCAGTTTGCTGTACTTCTGCCTAGATTCTTGGTTGGTGTTTCTAAAAAGTCAGCAGCAATGCTGAGTTAAGACTCAGGAATTCAGCTATTGAGTTATTTCTTCTCTTGTCTCTCCTGCTTTTGGAGGTTGTATGAATGTCTAATTGGACATTACTGTGCTCCCACCTGCCATTTGTTTCTAACTTTAAAACAGTGCATCTAAAACATTACATGACCATACACAAACACAGGGGTCCAAGTTCTCTTCCTGGACCTCAGAAGCTTAAGAAATGTATATTCCTTGCCAACTTCCTTCAACAGTGTTTAGCTGGACGAGGGATAATTGTTGTACTGAGAATAGGCATGGGACTCATGCACATTGCTGGACTGGGTATGATCACCAGTTTTTCATGCCATTAATAGGCAATACCAGGAAATCAAGAAGTCATATACTTCTTTGAAGGTGTTTATATTCTGTTGTTTAAATTATACACACGCACACAGACATTTATACACATGTATCTATATATACGTATATGCACATAAATATATACATATATTTTAACAGACTATACTTATATCTGTGTATATATGTACATAAGTTTTTAAAGTGATAGTGATAGTTTTATGTATTATATATAACAATTTTATATATGAATATTATTCATACACATGTATCTGTATATATGTATATGCACATAAATATATATATATTAGTTAACACACTATACATACATATGTGTATATATGTATATGTATTTTAAAGTGATAGAGAAAGTTTTATATATCTTATATATAACAATTTTATATATTATTATTATTTTTCTGCTTGCAGAGATCAAACGGGGACTGGATACTTTATCAGGTTTCTGACCTATATTTTTTTTTTTGCATAGATACCTCTGCTGTTGTTGTAGCCAGGTTCCATGTTTTTTTTGAAAGTGAAAGTCCCATATTATTGATTCATTCTAGCCTGGACTTATTTATGACTCTCAAGTCTCATAAAATATATTCATAATTTAACTTTATATACAGGAGTCTCTGAGAAAGATAAGTCTCTTTTCATGAATACTTTATATAGCTCAGAGAAAAGTTGATATCAAAACAGTCAGATAGTAAGGATTTAACTGGATTAGTCTTTTCAGTGCCTAGTTGTAAATTATTTCTTATAATTTTTTTGATTTATCACTGAAGACATAAGTAAATATTGTCAACTGCTATAATTGTTTGCCTCATGATAGCCACTACTCAGAGCAATGATGGGAAGACTGAGTTTATTTTTTGAGGAAAAAGGTATCAGTGGAGTTGTAGAAACTGAGAGAATTGATGGCAAGAAGGCCAGAGGTGGGCAGAAGGAGCAGGAGTTTTGAGCAAGAGATGAGAGAGGAAGACAAGGGTGCCCAGTCAGTCTTGCCCCTGACCAGTCACGTTTGCTTACTCCTGAAACTCTACAAATGGACTGAAGTTTGCACCATAAATGTAGAATATGGTGCAAAATTTTTTATTTACATATTAAATTAAAGGATGGAGTCAAAAAACTGTAGTGTCTGTGGCCATATATGGGTTATGAGATGACATGGTTAAGATTTCACACACTCATTCTTTTTATTTTTTTCTTTTCTTTACTTAGTCTTTTATTTGTAAAATGTTTATATTTAACAATAAATACAGAAGAAAAGCAACAAGCAAGTAGTTGACTTGCATGGTGGGTGGGAAACTCAAGCCAGGGCAGAGCAGAAGTCTCTGGTACTCCAGAGGATGTGCTGTGGGCCCCAAGAGTCTGCAGTGTGAAAGGCGCATCTTTCTTCTCCCACAGGTCTCAAACAGCAGAGACGGGAGGCTGAGCGTGATGACTGGTCCTAATTTTTGTTCTTCAGCCATTTTTCTTGATCTTGTTCTCTGACCCCATACATTCCAGATTGTTCGATGGATTTGTAATAAACTTCTAAGATGAAAGGGAATTTCTTGTTCATTGTATGCCTGAAATCTTGGCTTACGTTAATTTTAGTAAACAAAAAATATGCTCTGAAAACGCCAAGAAGTTCAGCTATTAAAACTTCTTTGAAGATCTTCTTTGACAGTGGTTCCATAGTACAGGCCATCCCAAGTCCCTAGCTCTCCAGACTCGACACTCATTGACTTTATCTAGATATTATGGGTTCACAAAATTGACAAGAAAAAGAAAAAAAAAAAACCATGGGAAGTGTTAACTCAAATGCCTGCAGAGTCCAGCAGGCCACATAAATCAGTAAATGGAATCAGATGTTAAAAAGCTACAGCAGAAGCTTGACAAATGGATGCTATCCTAAGCCCCAGTGGGAGGGAGGTAGTAGTTGGTGTTGTGGCCCCCTAGGGTGCATGGCCCCTCAATTCCCTGTTTTTAAAGTAGCTGCTACTTCCAACACAGTGCGCCCTGCAGGAGTAGAAGCCTGATGTGGCTGGCAGTTCAAATTTTCAAGCAAAACCAAGAATCTAGATTTTTATATGAACTGTATCAGTTATGAGTTGTTAGCAACTAATTCAATTAAAATAGGAAAAGAGAATGAAAGAAAAAAAAAAAAAACTATGCAAAAACACCAATGGGCCAAAGAAAACACTTTCAGTAGTTACACTCTACTTCCAGGGCTCCTGTTTGTAGTTTCTGGACCAGAGCACACACACTTAGGAACTGGGCAGGTTAGGTCAGGTCGGTAAGTGGTACACATCAGCAAGTGGCATGACCTAACTGGGAATTGGAAGGATCACAAATAGGCATTGGAATTGAACATTGCTTGCACATAACTTAACTTTAGACTTGCCATTGTGGTCTACCCAGATGACTATAGATTACTGTAGAAATAAACTAAATAAACCATGAAAGTCAATCATTCTATCCATCTACACTGCCACTTAAACAAATGGTCAAGGAGAAAACACTGACCTGTAAGTAAGGGTTGCTGATTACTTACAGGGTATGAACACTTTCATAGAATTCTTTTCATCGGAGCATTTGTCTAACAATAAACAGTATGCTTTTCTAGCCGAGGTTCAGCATGATGTCAGAACTGCTGTCCACTGTTGATAAAATTATGTCTTCTTAAAGAGTACCCAGAAGTACCTTAGGTGTAATGTGTCTCCCATGTATTTTGCTTTTCTTCCAAACTGACTGCCTTCACATCAAGCAGGGAATTTGAATTGGATGAGTCAAGTACTTTATCAGTGGGAAGAAAACTCTCATTAGAGGCCAAGAATAGCTCTACACAGAAACAAATATTCACACACTCACACTTACACAGACTCCTCCAGGCAAGGCTGCCTTAAGTAATGAAAGGTAATATGTATCAAGCATTAATTACGAAATCACTCTGCTCTTCTGAGTGGTGCACAATTATCAGGCAAGCAGCACAAATATCATCATGCCGCAAAGCTGCCCTGAGTCCTGTAAGTTTTAACAATTTGTTTTCAGACCTTTGGTTGCCTATTAATTATGCATGCATCGCTATATATTCATCATATGCCTAGATGATTGGGTATATAGCAGATCAAAAATGTTATGAAAGTTAGTACATGAAAGTTCAAGATATATGGTCCAAGTCTTTCCTCAGAGCCATTTACTTATACACATGCATCCATATTAGTAAATACAAAATTGCAACAGAAGGCTTGGATTCTGGTCATTAAGTATAGCCACATTATCTCGAATGTGTAACCTTAAAATGTTTTTAAGGGTATAAGGGACTATCCATGCCATAAATCAGGAGTTTATGATTTCAGGATCTAAAATATATCAGACTGCCAGAAACAAATAAATATAATTAAAATTACAAAGAAAAAAACCTGTTATGATTCTTCCAGCCCTACATGTTTTACTATCAGATACTTCGGCCCTGTTGGTTCCAGGTGTTAGAAGGATGATTGGCACTCTGACAGCCTGAAAAATGTATTGGCAGACTGGTAGATGTTTGAAGAACATCTCCTTTGCCGAAGGAGACTGAGTCTGCAGTCTCAACGCAAGCAGATATGCTTCCTGGCCTACAGCTAAACCTTTCAGGGATATTTCACAATAAACTTTTAATAATTGTTTGGCATAAGTGAATTGAGTGTCTTCAAAATAAATAATTGTTTTAGCATCTAGGAAATAATACGTAACAGCAGCAATGGAGAGAAAATACTACTTATACTTTACAAACAGATATAGATATATCTATATGTCTATGTATCTATATCTAGATAGACTAGATAGATAGACAGATAAATAGATAATTATCTCTATATACATGTTTTAGTAACCATAGGGAGCATTTACTTACTAGAGAGAGAGAAGGGGGGGAGAGAGAGAGAGGGAGAAAGCATTTCCCTCTAGGGGGATGTGGTCATGTTACAATTCCTTCTCCTCCGTTTTTCCATCTTGTTAGAATTTGGGGCAGACATACAGCCACTGGAGCTGAGATTCAACTGTAGTTAGTCATTTGGGATCTGGCTTCTTTAATCATTATTTAATCATTAGGCTATGAAATATTTTTTTATATTTCTCATGTGACCTAAAGTGTGTGTATATAATTATTAGTTTAGAATTTGTTACATTATATTTCACACGTGTAAAACTTGTTCATAGCCAAATTCAAACAGGGAAGTTCAGGGTTCATGCTATACCACACCAGTGGCTCTCACACTATAGCATGCAACAGAATCACCTGGAAGGCTTGTTTGAACACCACACTATCTGGGCAGCACCCCTACAGTTTCTGTGTCAGTAGGTCTAGGTGGGCTGAGAATGTTCTTTCTTGGTGTGTACATACATAAATTTTCCAGAGGGCATGCGTGTTTGCCAGAGGGAGACAGAGAGATAGTAAAAGAGGGAGAAAGAGAAAGCACCCTTCCAAAGGAGTGTGGTCAAGCTACAGTCCCTTCTCTTCCATTCCCCATCCTTTAGGGATTTGGGGCACACATGCACACATGCCTGGCATGTTTTTCAAGTTGCCAAGTTCTAACTCAAACCATGCAGTTGGTCCAGCTCCCTTAACCACTAAGCTGTGGGCGGCCCCAAGATTTTACTTGTATCAAGTGTCCTGGTGATCCAGACACTGCTGGTTCACACTCGGAAAATCATTGTTCCACAACATAATTCTCATTACTTCAGGTAAAATCTGTGTTACTCAGCTGGTACCATAGTTGATATTCAACAAGCAGATAAGAAATGAATAGTACTGCTGATTGTCGTGAAAATTCCTCAACAATTTTATTACAAAAATTTAAACGAGCCACATCAAAGTAGGAAATTATCTGTGTTTTGGTTACACAAACAGTCCAAATAAGCTTAGATTCTTCCATTAAAGCAACATACTAGTTTTACCTAATTAACAAAATGTATTGCTACTAGAGTTTTTTTTTTAATGTATTATTATGTTTTCAGCATTTTTATGGATTTTGCTACCTCTGATTTTCTCCCTTCATTTAACTCAAATTTAGAACTCTGCTTTCTGGATCCCAATATGGGGGGGGGATGGACATTAAGATTCCTTTTGTAGAAATATTTAATGTCAGTATTCTTATAGTTGTTGTTTTTTAAATTTTTCTTCCAAATAGATATCTGAAAAATATAAAATTATGACTGTAGTTACTATAATTAAAATAAAATAACTTTACTGAGACAGGATGGATATTAAATACTTTAGAAGAAAAAAGGGAGTCAGAAATAATCATAATTTTAACACTACTCCAAAACTTACTAAATTCTAATTACAGAAAATATGTAGAAACTTCCAAATGTGTATTTTTAAAAAATCTAATTTTTAAAATTGAGAAAAGTGTCATTTGGCAAATTTTCTACATGCATCTATCTCTCTCTGTTCTTCTTGAGTCAGTCTAATAATTAGCAGATATTGTTAATATAATACCTTGTCCTCTGCAAGATTGTTCCACGCAACTTCAATCAGAGATGTGTTTTAATACATCACATGCAGATAGTAATTATTCTCTTTATAGTAAAGTTAAGTCATTGTATTTATTTATTTATTTATTTATTTTACATTCAATCACTGTGTATCATTATAGTATGTCAAATGTATTTTCCCATCCTGAATATACCTTATATCAGTTTAATCAGAGATATTGCCATACATATGATCCACAGTTAATGTTACACTTTTGGTTTTTTTAAATGGTTTGCTTCTTTCTTTTTCCTTTCGGTTCCCTCCCTCATACTGTGTTCCATTTCCTACCCTCCTCCCACACTGTCTCTAGTTATTTAATTCTTTAAATGTTCTCCTGGAGGTAGAGCAATGGATAGTTGAGGCAAAGTCACAACGGTGGTCTGTCCTTATTATGCTATTTGAGTTTGAAAGGCCACAGAAGTTGAAAATCTCACAGCTGGAAATGGGACTACATTCATTAACTCAAGACATGATCTCTAGACAAACTATGTATATGTGTTTCTGTTCCTTTTTCCTCTTCCTTAGTCCTCAGGCCATGCTGACACCACTGTGCAGGTTATGAAAAAATGAAGGATTAACACTGGAGTGAGAAAGTTGCCAGAAAAGAAGAGCCTGGAAGGATTACATGAGGAAGAGGTGATGTTTTTCCAGTGATAGGAGGCGTGGTAGACTGAATACTAAAGAAGACCTTCAAGATAGTCTCCCCTAATTACTAAAGCACAATAAGACTCTGCAAAACAGAGAACAATGAAGACAGATGAGGCAGAAAAGGAAGATGGAAAGACAAAATATGTGAGAGGGATTCAACCTGCCATCACTGAAGGAAGAGGATGGCAGAAGCCAATGGACACAGCGACCATTAGGTTGAGAGTGACCACAGCCAGCAACTAGTAAAGAAAAAGAGAACTTGGTCCCATAGTTGCAACAAAGTGGGTTTGGCCAACAACTTGAATAAGTTTGGAAGTGAATTTTTCCCAGAACTTTTCAATAAGAGCCCAGTTAGTCACAAGCAACACTTTTGCCCCGTGAACTCAACAGCAGAAGCAGCTGAGCCCACCCGAAGTTCTCATCAACAGAACTGTGAGATCCACAATGTGAGGGCTGGGTCAAGTCACTAAGTGTGATAATTGCTCACAGAAGTAGAGCAGGAGGCCAGAGCATGTGATAGGATTGTGTTAGGCTCATTGCAA